AAGGGTTTTTTATAATCACATCACTGAATACAAATCTAAAAAATTATTAAACTTAACAAATTCGAAATGGTAGATTCAATATAACGGTTGTCAAAACTTAAAAAATGTCCTATCATCCGGATATTATTTCTGCCATCCGTCATATTAATTTCGCTATCCGTTATAACCATTCATTATTAATTTTATCAATTTTGAATTTATCAATTTTGACATTGGATTCGTATTCAGTATCATGAAAAGCTTTTATACACAAATTTTTGCAACAATCCAGATATTTTTTAAGTTTTAGTATCCGCCATATTAAATCCATTTTTGTTCATATTTAGCGATCTAAACAACTGTTAAGTTTAAATAAATATAATTAAAATCTATTTGGTCATCCGATCTTTCCGCAATAATTTTTCCGCAATAAAAACATTATATTTAACATAAATATCTTATTAACTGAAATAGCTGACACAAAAAATTCTTTTTGTGAGTTGAAAGTCCTAATGACATACTTAATTTTGATTGTAATAAATTTCTCCAAATATATCACATATTGTAGTTATAATATGACAAAATATGTGAAAATAATTCTTTTTTACTTAACTGAAAATTTCTTAAAATTATAACGTGATGAAGCAATTTGGAAACTGAATTCGTATTCAGCGTTCAAAAAACTATAGGAAATGACTAGTCTGGTGTTCAAAGAAAAAGTCATTTTTTATTAAATAGTGTAATAGATATTGCGTTAAAATAAGAAAATATTTGTATTTTTGTCTTTTAATTTATATTATTTAGATAAAATTACATTAATGTTTTAATCTAATTTTCAATATAATTCATCAATTATTAATTAATTCATCAATTATTTGAAAATAAAATTTCGACAGTTTATTGGACATTCGAAGCTGAATATCAAAAATTGAAAATTCCAGAAGTTAAACAATTGAAAACCAGCATTCACATTAACTGCGTATCGATATTCATTGTCAGTACTGAAAATATATAATTTATATTATATGTATTATAGATTTTCAGTACTGGCAGTGAATATCGAAACGTAGCCTATGTATACTTTACGTTTGAAAATCATTCTATACAGGCTATATCTAGGCTTCTATCTCGAGAAGTCAGTTATACAAACTCGTTCATGTATAATTATCAGTTTCATCTGTGAATTTTTAGTATGAAATACGGTTGTTGATTGCCATGAGAAATAAATGAAAGTCATCTTGTTTCACGCAAGAGCATTGACGTATTTCGCATTCATTCGCGATGAAAAATCGGTCGGCATTATTCGCGTTATTGCCATTGGAATATTGGCAGCCGAGATGGAGAGCGAGCTCACGACAATACGGCATGCCGGCCAATGTCGGACGGAGAAAATGGCGGAAATATAAAGTTCTAATGGCTTTTGACGGGACGGTCGTATATCGATTCTCGTACTATGGCTCCGCGCATTAATCGATCGTAAATGTTGCATAAATACTTGGGCGGCCGCCACGAATCCGCCGAACAGTTCCGCACGGAATAACGCGTCGGTCTTGCTGGAATTCAATTCATTTCAACAGGTCACATATAATTCAATTTAATGCGCGTAGTCCAATTCCGTTGTTTTTATTATCAGATCAACGCGTTCGACATCGCGACAATATCACGGGAATGCATATTACGGGACCGACGGTGTGTTGCGGTGTCCTCCAGTACGATGCGATTACATTCCGATTGATATTTTTCATTAATTAATTTATTAGTCTTTTAATTATTCACTTAGTTAAAACTTCTTACCCAAACCTCGGACAATTTATATTAAATTTTGTATAATACGGAGATCATCTTGTCTTGAATATAATATTATATAAAAATAATATTATCGCGAGTACTCATTGTACTCAACAGGTCGTGTTATCTTCCTTGTTACTTATGCGAATAATACGGTAAAATAAGCGGTCAATATTTGGCGGTGTTGGCAACAAATAGGACATCAAGTCCTAATTGAAAGCACATTAAACATTCGCCAGTGATCGCGTGTTAACGCGATTAACGTTATAACCGTACAGTTTAGCTGGCTTGCACATACATATTGACACATGGTCGAAAAGCATTATCACATTTTCGCGATATTTTGAATATTCAAATGCATAGGCATTGGGAAAGCAAAAGCCAATTGTCGTTGAGCGGTCGAAAATGTTTGCATGCGGTAGCTTGGAAATTGCGAACATTATCGCGCGACTCGATCCCGCGGCACTTTCGCATTCTCGAGAGGAGATCGATACGAAGGCTACAATTAACCAGATACAGTCGCGCCGGCAACCGACAAATATTTCACTGACTGGCGCAAAATATTTCGCTGGCTCGGCCCTTTTTTTCATGTCTCTCGCTCGCTTGCGCAAATTTCAACTCGCCGCTACGTGGCGAGTATTCACCCATTGCGTGGTAATTTTTCAAAAATTATCCGTCCGCTTCATTAAGAACAACGAGCGCCACAAATGGACATAAACCTGCAGAAATTTTTTTCGAAATAACGGAAAAACGCCGTGCAGGTTCTTCTATTCCGCTTATAAACTTTTCACGTCGAGAGTTGTCGAGAGACGTTGTCGTTAACCTTTTACCGATTGGATATGGATTTTCGATATCCAGACGTATTTTAAAAACGAGTTCAATTATTTAAAGTGGCTTTTGAAGTCGATAATTTAAACTAATCAAAAAGTTGAAGTAAAAATGAATGTCTTTTTATTTTAAACAAAACAAAGTATGATATATTTTCTAATATAAGAATATGTCTATTTCAACAGTGTATACAATGAGAAGATAAGAAAAAATAATAAGTTTTATAATTAATAATTCTCTATTCTATAAAAGCAATAATAAAAAGTTCTATAATTCGTAAAAACACATACATTAAATTATCTCCAAACTTCTATAAATCATAAAAAGTATATTATATATATAAGCTTAATAAAATAAATTTAACTTTCAATAAAATAAATTTAATTTTTTTTATTTTCTCTAATTCTATTTTCTATAATTGAAGTTTTTTTATATTTAAATTTTTATTCAAGATTTATTAAAACACATTTAAAATCAACGTAAATTATTAGAAATTTATTATGTTAAAACCATATAATACATTTTTGAATTTATAACTGAAAATTAACAATTTTTCAATTTCTTTATATACACATTATATACATAAGTTTTATTAATATTTTTAATTTTTTTTATTAATCTAATTATTATTAAATTTTACATCTGAAATAATCTTATATTAATAATTTTTAAGTTTTAAGAAAACTAATGCATATTATTAAAAAAAAAAATCATGTTTTTTATATTTAAAAGGATTTCTCTCTTTCTCTTATTCTAAAATTATACTAGATTTTTTATCTATCAAATTTAATAAAAATTTTTAATGGATTTAAAATTATTATTTTTTAATGTCTAATATGGCATATAATCGAATTAAAATTGATTGAAAAAAATCATTAAAAAAAGTCATAAAAGATTAATGGATTTTTATGTGTGCTTTGAAATATCTTAATATTCGTTATGTACTTCTATCTTCTTTTTTATCTCCTGCATAACATATGTAAAAAATTGTATTGAATATGAAATTTAAATTTATCAAATACCCATTATTATTGAAAAAATTATTATCGAAAATGAGATTTTTATAAATCATACAATATAAAAAGCTAAAAGTTAAAATTATATTGAATAATATTAAATTTTGTAATACTTTTTATCATTAAGATTTAGTTCACTGACATCGCATTAAAAAGTCAATTGTGTTATAAATTAAATAATTTTCATTATGCAAAACATGCAATGTAATTTATGTAATGTTAACAACAATAGACGTATGAAAATTCTTTTGTACATGATTGTATACTTTTAATTCTACAATGTTTAATTAGATACCTTATACTATATATATTTTCATTTTTTATGTAGAAAGTTTAATAACTTTCTATTATGCGTTATTTAAAAAAAAAAATTATAATTTAAAATTTATTCATTTAATCTTATAAGGAAAGTTTTACTTTTGTCCAAGAAAATGTCGATTTAAGAAAATCGTATTGATTAAAGAAAATTTAAAATCATCTATGAACTAAGAAAATAATCGATAAAAATAAAAATGTTATAGATGGAAAACTAAAACTTACGAGTTATTTTTACAGGCGTTAAATGATTCCATAAAAATTCCTTTACTGCGGCATAAATATAATTCAACCGTTACCTTGTAAAATAAATAATTTTTATTATATAAAATACGTTTTTGTTATATAAAATACACATGTGAGGTATATTTCATAGCGGTAGAGCATTAATTTAATTCTTTTCATAAACGTAAATTTTATTTTCAAGAATAATCGTGCATCAAAG